AACAGAACCCTGTGGTAACCATGCAGTACAGGGTGATGCAAGTATGCACTTAAGTTCCACGGCCAGCAGCCACCCCAAACCAAAATTGCATGCTGAAAATAATAAATCAATGGTAGAGTAGGGTAGAGACCAGCCAGAAACCAGCAGCGCCACACACAGGAGCACCATACTGTAAATACATGTTGTGTGCAATGGTCCCTCGAGTCTAAGCTGTGGAATTTTGTGAGCTAAAAATCTTGTGAGCTCTTGGAGTGAGTGATTTGGCTACTGCATAAGTAAGTTTGCTCTGGAGGCATCCTTCCTGCCTAAGATGAAAAGTTGTGAGGCGGCGGAGACTAGAAAACTGTGAGCTAGCTCACACTAACTCAGCTTAGAGGTAACATTGGTAATTGAAAATATAACTTTCTTTTTGTGCAGGGGTGAGGTGGGATAAGGGAGGGAGAACCTGTGATGAATGGCAGCTGCCACACCTAGGCTAAGTCTCCTCCACTGAGGCAGGCAGTGATGGCTGGTGTTGGTGTACTGCTGCGAGACAGGAGGTTCACTGGACAGATAGACGCTACCCCCTCCAATCTCACTTTCTGAGGCATTAGTGGGCAGGGCTTCTTGTTGTGGTGTTGTTGGTCTTTCACGCAGGTTGACAAAAAAGTCTTGGCACATCAGAGACAGATGGGTAAGCTGACAGAAGACAGAGGCTGCTTCCTTGGCTGGGAAATCATGAAATTACACCTTCTGTGCTACCTACAGGTGTGACCTCATGGTTCCCCACAAAGTGGGCGGCATTCACACCAGGCCATGGTTTTTGGGTAAAGGTTAACAAAGAAGTCTTGGCAATTACAGACAGACGTATGTTGAGGTAAGCTGAAATGAGACAGAGAGGTTGCTTGTTTTGCTAGATACATGAAGTGCTATACCTTTAGTGCAACCTACAGGTGGCACTTCATGCATCTTACAAAGGGGGCTGCACTACACCAAGCCATGGTTTCTCGGGAGATAATAGCTTTTAGAATTTGTTGGTATTTTTTTGGACGTAAACTGACAGGAGACAGAGGCTGTGCTTGCTTTGCTTAGTGCATGAGGCATCACGTCTTTCTTTGCTAAGTAGAGGTGACACTTCATGCACCTGTCGAAGTGGGCTGCTTTCACACCAAGCCATGGTTTTTGGGCAAATCAGATGTTAGCTGACACTTAGCTGGATGCTCGAAGAGTCACATTCATAGCACATTCTGTGCTAACGTGATGTGACACTTGGAGCGTCTGATGCAGTGGGAGGCGTTACACTGTGATGGGTTTTTTTGGCAAATTATTGTTTAGAGTGGGGGTCCTAAATCTTTTTTAGCCTCTGGCCACCTTTGGATTTCCAAAGCAGGCTAGGCTAGTAATCTATTCTGGGCATGGAGCAGGGGTCACTGCTGGGGGTGTGGAGGGGGAGGTATTTATGAATTTTTCTGCCTTGGGCGGGGGGTTGGACTAGATGACCCGGGAGGTCGCTTCCGACTCTATGATTCTACTAGCTGCAGAGATGTCAAACTCATTGGTTGCGCAACGTGACACCTCATGAACCTGACAAAGTGGGCTGCATTCTAATCTTCACACCAAGCCAGGGTTTTGGGGCAAATCATTCTTTAGAGAACGTGCAGGGGGTTGGACTAGATGACCCCGGAGGTCCCTTCCAACTCTGTGATTCCATGACTCCTGCCACAGAAATGTCAGGGAGAGACTCATTTGTTGCGAGGGCTGGTTGGCACAGGTTGTGGAGACCACTGTGCACTGGTTCTGCTGCTGTCCCCTGAACAGGGGTCTGACTCCCAAATCTTTTTCAGCCTCTGAAAAAGGTTGTGTGTGTGTGTGTGAGGGGGGGTTGCTTTGGTTCTGCTGCTGGGCCTGGCTAGTGGCAAAGCAATGCAAACATGCTCCCTCAGTCTATGTAGGCTGCTGCTGCTGAACAGATTCTCTGGTTTGAACTAAATTCTGTTGGTTGGGGTTTTGGGCACTGCCTGGCACACTGGCACAGGTTGTGGGGGGCAGATTGCTCTGGTTCTGCTGCTGGGCCTGGCTGGCAATGCAAACATGCTCCCTCAGTCTATGTAGGCAGCTGCTGCAGAGATTTCCTCTGGTTTGAACTAAGTTCTGTTGGTTGGGGTTTTGGACACTGACTGGCACCTTGGCACAGGTTGTGAGGGGGCAGATTGCTACAGTTCTGCTGCAGTGCTGGGCCTGGCTGGCAATGCAAACATGCTCCCCCAAACAGGTTGCCCCCATCCCTCCATTGTTCTCTTTATGGTGGGGAAAAAATTGTCGGCTTATGCCTATTTGTGAGCCGCCCTGAGCCCATGTTTGTGGGGAGGGCAGGCTATAAATTCCGACAACTTTTTCCCCACCATAAAGAGAACAATGGAGGGATGGGGGCAACCTGTTTGGGGGCCCACAGAATTGGACCCCCTGGTCCAATCTTCTTGACACTTGGTGGGTATCTTGGGGAAAGGTTCCAGCAGCTACCCTGCAAGTTTGGAGCGTCTCCCTCAAACCCCCTCCACTCCAGCCCCCAGAATATAACCTATGTGCCAAAAGGCCCATAGGATATAATGGGGTCGAATTGCCGCCGAATTTCGCCGGCAAAGCAAGCTGATCTGGGGGCACCCTCTTTGGATGCCCCTGGAATTGGACCCCCTGGACCAATGTTCTCAAATCTTTGGGGGTCTTTTGGGGAGAGGCTGGAGCAGCCACGGTCCAAATTTGGAACCTCTACCTCAAACCCTCCCCCCCCCAGCAAACTTTCCAGAGGATTTTTGCCATTGACTTTAATGGCCCCATTGGATATAATGGACCCAGATTTTTCTGGAATTCCGAAAATTTTCGGATATCTATGCTTTACCAGTATATAGATATTTGGGTTTTTTTCGGGAATCCTGAAAAAATTCAGTCCAATAAATCCAAATCCGAATTTTCCCCAAAAAATTTTTTTGCACACCCCTAGTCAAGAAGCAACAGTTAGAACCGAACATGGAACAACTGATTGGTTTAGCATAGGAAAAGGAGTACGACAAGGATGTATATTGTCACCTTATTTAATATATATGCAGAGTACATCATGTGAAATGCTGGCCTGGATGAATCACAAGCGGGAATTAAGATTGCTGGGGGGAACATCAACAACCTCAGATATGCAGATGATAGCACTCTAATGGCAGAAAGTGAAGAGGACCTAAGAGCCTCTTGCTCAGAGTGAAAGAGGAGAGCACAAAAGTAGGCTTGAAACTCAACATCAAAAAAACTAAGATCATGGCATCCGCCCCATCACTCCTTGACAAAGAGAAGGGAAGGTCATGGAAGCAGTGACAGAATTCATGTTCCTGGGATTCAAGATCACTGCAGACGGTGACTGCAGCCATGAAACACCTGCTCCTGGAGAGGAAAGCTATGGCAAATCTAGACAGCATATAAAAAAGTAGAGACATCACCCTGCCAACAAAAGTATGGTCAAAGCAATGGTATGCCCAGTAGTAATGTACGGCTGCGAGAGTTGGACCATAAGGAAAGCCAAGCGCGGAAGAATAGATGCTTTCGAATTATGGCGCTGATCAAATCAGTCAATCCTAAAGGAAATCAACCCTGACTGTTCCCTGGAAGGACAGATACTGAAGCGGAAGCTCAAATACTTTGGCCACCAAATGAGAAGGGAGCACTCACTGGAGAAGACCCTGATGGCTGGGAAAGATTGGAGGTCAAAGAAGATGGGGACGGCAAAGGATGAGATGGTTAAGATAGTGTTATCAATGCAGTGAACATGAAATTGAGCTAACTCTGTAGGACGGCGGAAGACAGGAGGGCCAGGCGTGATGTGGTCCATGGGGTTGCGAAGAGTCAGACTTGACTCTGTGACTGAACAACAAATTACTGTCAATCTGTTGAAACTTTCAGCTCTCCCTGTTAAGTGGCACAGGGTGGCTCTTTCTTCCCTTACCAAGCATTTGCCAGTGTGGTGTGATGGCACTAGTATCTTGGAGATCCAGGTTTATTGAGTGACCTTGGGCCAGTCACACTTTCTCAAACTAACATGCCTCACTGGGATGTTTTGAGGATAAAATGGGGAAGAGGAGAATGTTGTAAGCTGCTTTGGGTCCTCCACTGGAAGGAAGACAGGGTAATAATAAAACTGAATAAATGGAATAGTATTTAAAGCTACCACAAGACCGGCATGGCTGTCTTTTGTTTTATGTACCTTTCAACAGAGGATCAAGTTTAAAGTGTTAAGCAAAACAGTATATATTTTGCTTAGAACTATAGGCAACATACACTTTCACTTACCAAACTGCTGCAACACTGTTTTATTTAGGCTACACTAGACACTTCCAGGGCTGCAGTGGCTCAAGTGGTTAACATGCTGATCTGCAGACCAGGAGGTCGGTAGCTCAGCAGTTCGAGACCCGCGTGCCACATAACGGAGTGAGCTCCCATCTCTGGTCCCAGCTCCTGCCAACCTAGCAGCTTGAAAGCAAGAAATTGCAAGTAAATAAATAAGTACCGCTTTGGTGGGAAGTTAACAGCATCCCGTGCGCCTCAGCGTTTAGTCATGCTGGCCACATGACCACGGAAACGTCTTTGGACAGCACTGGCTCTTTGGCTTGGAAACAGAGATGAGCACCGCATCCCTAAAGTCGGATTCGACTTGCTTTCGAGCAAGGAAAACCTTTACCTTACCTTTACCTAGACACTTCCACGAGGGGACTCCACTGTGGCCATGTTTTCAGCACTGGGGTAATAATGCAATGCCACCAGGAAGGGAGTTCCTATAATGCATGTCAAAAATTCACAAAGTAGACAGATTTACAGTTATGTATTTATTGTTAAATTACAGAAGCTTTAGTGCAAAAAAACCCCCCAGTGGTTTGTTAAAGCAACTGCTTATTTTCCCCAGTTCACATCTAGAACATGAAAATAAAATGGAAATGCTAATATACAAAGCAGAAATGAAGACAGACTCCCCCCTGTGTCCAATTCTGACAATCCTTGTCCCATGAGATTATGCCACTTTATTTCCTACGAAGAAAATGAGCACACACACAAGTAGAAATTCTAGCCAGGAAAAAGTGGCATCTACACAGTCCAGCCATCAAATGTTCAACAGCCTGTAGAGCAAAAAGGCCATCACTAAGAAGAGGACAATGTTTCCCCTGCATGAGCACAGGATGCTACTGTTATCAATGTTGACATCTGCAATAATATGAAAAGGTAACATAGCAAAAGTCTTTGCTTTTGAGTAGTGAAAACTTTGAACCAAACAGCAGTTTAGTTTTAACAAAAAAAATATCAGGTCAAAGCCCTCAGCGAATGCTTGTTGGAAGAAAAAGAATGAAGCCACATGGCAATCACTTTGCTGGAATTAACTTGAAGCAATTATTAGTTTACTGCTATGAGTCCCATCCTGATTCCACATTCTCATGAGCTTAATGTGCTGGAATAGTCAACCTCCTTCCTGGGGTTTCTTATAAGTTGTTGAGAATTTGCATAACTAAAACAAACTGTTTTAAACAGCTATGCACTCGGAGGTTCAAGGGCATTATGTGGTCTCTAAAAAGTTCCCTCGCCCACATGGCTATTATAAATCTTCAGAAGTGCATACTTGCATGGAGATCAACACAAGCTGCTATTTGGGACAGAAATGACATCTGCGCCTTGCGCTAATAGCGGTACTACACAGGCCAGAGCCATCACCCCCACTAAACTCAAAAGGTCAAATAGGGTCAAGATGTATGCGGCTAGTATGGCACTCTGCTTCTAAACATTTCAAGATACCTCTAGCACTATACCATAGAATGGCTACTCATGCAAGAGGGTGCAGAATGTAAGAATGTACTGCTAGAAAAAAATGGATTCCAATACTAGGAAGTGACAGAGAGAGAATCTTGTTGCTATTCTGAAACTGGGGAAAAGGTTACTTGGCAACCATATACTTCATGCATGCAAATTTCTTTACCTTTTCAGTCAACATGTATGTGGTTCGCTCTCTAATATGTTCCAGTCAGCCAGAACATACCAGGCACGCTGCTTGAGTTTTTTTAGTTTAAACACAGTCAACTCCTTTGTTTTCAAGGTATTGAAGTTACATTTTAAAATGAATGGGTGCCCCAGTCCTGTTGCATCAGTTTTCCATGGACGCTTATATTCACTACCTTGGATATTGGCCACCCAGTCCAATATACTTTCTCAGGCCACACACCAACAAGTTTGGAGACTCAGCCTTAGCTGTATTACAGACATATTCATGTAGCTACTCAGGAATACCCTTCCTTCCACAGGCAACTTACAGGGCTGATGTAGCTTTATCCCAGCAAGTAGGATTTAATTTAAGAGGGTTCTTCTGCCCAGTAACTGGGTAAAATGAAAGCTGAAATGATACCCACTTGTAATGACCAGCAACCTTACTCTAGCAAACCATCCATCAGCAAGAGTGCCTTTAAAAAATTACTCAATGATTTTTAAGGTCAGACACAAGGCTGGGGTGCCTTTAGTTTACTTCTACTCTTAAAGGCACTCAGCTAATTGAACAACTTTGCTAAACAGCTGCATTTCATGTATCATAAAGGAACTAAAAACTGGAGGCAGAAATAGCATCAGATCAACACTGTGGATCATTTCACAGTAGTAGCACTGCTACACCAAAGAAAATCACAAAAAGTTATTTAAGATTTGGAAGAGAAAGGAAATAAAGACACCAGGATTTAGTTCTGCCAGCCTAATCCTCTCCTCCTCTTGTTTTCTTCAAGAAAAAAAAGTTACCCAAGCGGGAGTTTTCTTCTAGTTCCACACATGATGTTTGCAGTGGTCAACAGCCTAGGAGACAGGAAGAAGAGGTCAGAATTAACCTGATTCCCAACTTAAACTGATATTTTTGTTTTCAAGTAGTTTTGTTTAATAAAAACAAAAGCCAGAGACACTGGCTTGCTGCAGGACATGAGTGTTCATAAACACACAGAAATCCAGTTTACTTACATTGCACTTAGTTGCTGTTTCCATGTTCTTACACCAATAGCCAGGTCCCCAGACACACATTTCTGATCCCAACAGAGGCTTTGTGGATGCTGCACAAACACCAAGCTTCTGTAAAACAAACAATGAAGGGAAAAAGCTAACTGCATGACCTGGGGCCACTCTCACACTCAACTTAACCTACTTCCTCACAGGGCTGTTGGAATAAAATGGAGAAGGGAGAACCATGTACGTCATTCTCAGCTCCAAGGAGAAAGGGAGAGATCATGTACTAAGTACAAATGCAAATACCTTTTCACTGAGAGACAAATTCTATTGAAAGTCTGCTGCAGCTAACAAAAAGGAATTCTGGAGTACCTTAACAAAGCAGGTTTTTGGCCAGAAAAGGTTATGCTTCAATGTCTTGGTTTAAGTTGCTACATGGCCCCATTTTTAATAAACTAGGAGCCTGCCATGTGCCCAAGAAAAGTAAACAGGCTTCCATTTTCCTCTCTTTCCAAGAGTCCAAAGTATTAGCACAAGAGTCTGCTGCCTATGGCTCTAGAGCCATGTGTGGAGCCCCAGATGGCTCTTGAAAGAGAAAGATCAAATCTTTTAAGTTAAGGTATATTGGAAGGTTAAGTGGGATGCTGATATAAACAGGAAGAGGAAGGGAATGACTGGCAAAATTCTTATGGGAGTACAGAGCTTCTTACATATGCTTTATATGTCATTTAGCTCTAAAGTTAAATAATTTCAGTTATGCAAATTATACTACCTCTGTTGATCCTCTTGCTCTGAGTCTTGACACACTTTGACTCTGAACATGCATGAACATGTCAATATGGCTTGGAAAAAGCCTTGAGTCTTTTCTTAACATCCTATTTAGTGAAAGCTTCATGACACAAGACAATAAGTCTTAAACCTTTTCAGGAAATAACTCCATGCATAATTGTTTGAAATGAAGTGCTACTAAATTGGAAACACTGATATATTTAACTGCAGTGTTGGTATTTATGTAATGGCCCCTGTTTTGAGTGAACCCCATGAACAGTTGCTCTAGCTGCAATACTTACACCACACACGAAACCAGGATCCATCATTTCTGCCAAAAGCTGCACAGCCATGGGTTCATAATCCTCCACAAACTGATCACACTGTTGGGGGGTGGGGAGAAAGAGGTTGAGATAGATCCTCTGCTACTCCATCATAGGAGACAGACAATATTAAAAAACGAAACCAGATCCAACTGTTGCATAATGCAACCCTGCTGAAGTGAACCATATTCGTCCCACTGATTTCAGTAAAAGATGCAACATGTTAAACTCAGAGACTTAGAAATTAGCTCTAGCTTTGGCTGGATTGCGTAAGACTCTGTACCACAGCAATGTGTAGCCTGTCTGTTAAGAAAGTGTCACTTGAGACATCCAAAGCTATTTTAATAGATATCGGTTTCCAAATCACTGCCAGGAAGGTCTCACACACAGAGAACTGGACTGTGGCATATGATAAGCTTCAGCCATGGCCTGCATCACATCTGTCTGACCTCCAGATAGTGCTTCTTCCTAGGGAAAAACTCCTCCCGTGGATAAATTGGAAATACTTCTGGGTATCTGAATCAGAAGGTGCTTTCCATCCCCCCTGGATCAAACAGGCAAGCTGTTCTATCATCAGGAATACAGCAGAGATTTGTGTTCGAAATGAGATGCTAAAGAAGATAGGTGGGGATCAAGTGCATCTTGCATCAGCCAGAGATTACTTGTACAATCACCATAACATCTAGCAGAAACTTGCAAGTTAAGTGATTAGACAAAAATTGTTCAGAGACTTTAGAACTGCAGCCATTCAACTAAAATAGCAAGCATTTCCCTAGATTTCTTGTACTGCTAAAGGGCACAAACCAGGTTGCTGTATCAATATCTGCAACTGCCACTTTCTAGCCAATTGCTCTTTTATCCAAATGCTCAAGACATATTGCTAATCAAATAAACCACTAAAGCACTCTGGAAAATTGTCTGGCTTGATCCAGGTCCTCAGTTACCATCTCATTCCATCAGATATTTTGGAGTTGGCAGGTTGAATCTGGCTATATGGCACTCAAGGCAGTTTAACAATATAAATTCTGCCACATACAAATACATTCTGCATTCTATTAAGGCCATTATTTAAACTAAAGCAAGTTAAGAAAAGTTTTCAATGAAGTCATCTAATAAACCCGTTAATTTTTAAAAAAATTATACTTGTCTTAGTCTACCATTAGGATCTTACCCTAAAAATTACTTGCTCAGAGACATAGGAACTCTAGGCAAATACTATTCCTGCTGGCAAAGTTCATTCCTGTTGGGTTATCACCTCATGCTCTGTTTTGATCCTGCACTCCAACTCTAGTTTGTGTTCTAAGCTTTACCAATATACACTGGGCAGGGGTTAGTACATTCAGCAGCAAGCTTCTACCCAGACTGAACACAAACATGGCATTTCCTTAAGACCTGTGGCACTTCAAGTTAAGCCATACCCATTTTAACCCTTTCCATTAACTATTTTACCTGATCACGGTAAGACTGTGGCAACATGCTGCAGACTTTTTCTAGAGCTTCCTCAATTTCCTCAGTTGTAGCATTCTTTAGTAGCTGTTTGTCCAAATAGGCTACGATCATTTTGCACAAATCACAAACATCACCAGCCGGTGATTGCACTGGAGCAATTTTCTCTGAGAATTCAGAAAGTCAAGTTATGACCATGATTTCAAGAGCAAAACCACAATACCACTTCATGCCTCCCCATGTACTCAATGCACTATATTGTGTTATTTAAGTTCTTACCAGCAGGAACAGCCTTGTTTGCACAGCATTTCAGCATAACGCATACCATTTTAGGATCAGTTGCCTCCAGCAGCATATCAATGATTGCTTTGCCGTAGACTTCCACAAAGCTCTTGCACTCGTCTCTTAGTTTTACTGGCAGCACAGCACACACTGCCTCCATTGCATGTACTATCTCCTCCTGGTACACAAGGACAGTTAAAAGTGTTTTTAAAATGCTAATATTTCTAAGTTTTATAAGGGACACCATCTTATCTGTCCTGTTTCAAGTCAAAACAGGTTTCTAAAGCCATTTGCCCAATGCACGTCAATAAGCTACTTTTGTATCTTACATTGAGGTGCCATCTTAACTTAATCCCACTTTTTTAATGCCTTCAATGTGGCACTCAAAAACCTACTTAAAGAACATCAAAATACAACAGTAAAGGTACACAGAGCCTAACACATTAACATCAGCTGAGTCACTGGAAGACTTTAGTTTTCCTGCATAATATGGGGACTAGACTACAAGAGCAACACCACCTGCACTTTCAATCCACACTAATGCAAACCAAACATATTGGAAAAGGACACACTTATAGTTTAGGGCATGGGGCTGTTGAACAGCAGTCATTCTCCTTAAGGAAGACCACTGGAAAGCCAACCTCTGCACATGTTACAAATGGCTTTATTCCAAGGTCTTATCTAAATAATAGGCAGTGAAGATCAGCCATGTCTTACAGATACAATCCATGGTTTCACAAAGTCATGCCTGTTTTTAGTTACATGGTAGTTTGCTTAAGGGGGTCATAATATCCCCTTATTCTGACAAACAGTTCAAAGTGTGTACTGCTATCTGTTTACAAAGGCTTCTACAAAGCCTGATGCAGAGATCAACCCTACCATAATATGACCTGGAAGACAGTTCCTGAACTAATTGGACCGTAACTGTTAAAGGAAAACTATTCTTTAAATTTAAACCTGCTGACTTTGGTCTTGCCTAAATTCATTTAAACCTGAAATAGCTTACTTTTAAGTCATGATTAATTTTGTATTTTGACCAGCTTGCCCTTACAAATTCTTAACATCTGTCAGCAGATACATAATTTACTCAAATAAATTTATATCTTGACCAGCTTGCCCTTACAAATTCTTAACATTTGTCAGCAGATACCTAATTTACTCAAGTTCAAATACAGTGATGTGAATAATTTTCTGGTAAAGGAATTCTTTTTACAAAATGAAGAAATTCTGGGCATCTGTAAAAGCTACATTTGGAGTGGGGTTTAAACCCCAAAGTACATGTCCTGTATTTGAAAATACAGACCACATATGTATTATTAAAAGGGTCAATACAATGTTTAATGTGAGTTCTTGTCCAAAAGAATGTATTACAAGAGTGAACAGGGCTTTTAAGAACATAAGAGAAGCCAATGCTGGATCAGGCCAATGGCCCATCCAGTCCAATACTCTGTCACACAGTGGCCAAAAATACCAGGTGCCATCAGGAGGTCCACCAGTGGGGCCAGGGATCTGTGGCACTTTAAACACAGCATATTTTAGTGGCAAAGAGTTTGGAGTCCAGATTTGGGGAGGGGCACTTAGTGGTAGAATATCTATTTTGAACACAAAAGCTTGGGCTCTGTCACCTTCGGGTACCAGGGCAGGGAATGATCTGCGGACAAGGCCTCCTACTTTTTGTGATCCTGTCATGGATATAGCCAGGAAATGGGGGGGGGGGACTTCCTACACTTGACTGAGGTAACTGAAAGATGACCTGGGTAATCCAGAACAATCCTACTACTGTTCGGAGCAGCCATTGCTAGGCTGGCTGGGCCAGTGATCTATCTCAATGCAAGGCAACTCCATGTGTTTAAGACTGTAATCTGGTACACAGTTGCTTGAAAATAAACCACATTAGACTACAAGACTGGGAAAACTTATGCTTTCTTGCTGAAAAACGATCAGGACAGGAAAGGACCTAAAAACATCTGTAGTTGCTTTGAGGTACAGAACAGCACCAGGCTGAAAACAAAGCAAAACTGGCTGCAGGTTTAGAGCTAGAACACTTTGAAAAAGTACAGTATGGCAGGTTCGCCTTCGACTGTTCGGAGCAGCCATTGCTAGGCTGGCTGGGCCAGTGATCTATCTCAATGCAAGGCAACTCCATGTGTTTAAGACTGTAATCTGGTACACAGTTGCTTGAAAATAAACCACATTAGACTACAAGACTGGGAAAACTTATGCTTTCTTGCTGAAAAACGATCAGGACAGGAAAGGACCTAAAAACATCTGTAGTTGCTTTGAGGTACAGAACAGCACCAGGCTGAAAACAAAGCAAAACTGGCTGCAGGTTAGAGCTAGAACACAGGTTCGCCTTAGAAAAATAAATGTCAAGAATAAAGACTTCCTTGTTACTAGCAGATGCTTTTGTTGAACATCTGCCATGCACTCCCTAGACAGCAAGATGCAGTCACTATATTTAGTGCAAAAGGTACTTGGGCCCTATCCTGATTCAGTTCCCCAGGGCCTGTAAAACAGAAGTGTTCTACTAGGCATACGGTTGAGATGGTGAAGCGAAGTTTTCATCTAACCTGGCCTCCCCTCCAAGCCGTTCATTGCATTGTGAACCAGCTTTGTAAACTGCACAGTTTACACAACCTCATCCGGATAAATTATGAGTTCAGTGGCTAATGGCACCATCTGATTTTAGTTTGATTGTTATGCTAAACTGTTTTAATAATTATATTTATTTAATTTGTCGTACCCTGCCCTGAGCCTTGCGGTGCAGGGGAGGGTAGGCCAGAAGTCTAATAAAATAAATAAATATCCAAAAGATGCTTTGATGTTTTATACATACCTCAGACTTATTGCTCTCTAGAAGGCTGGCCACCTCTTCCACCATAATCTCACATGCATCACATAGAGAGAGAGATTCTGCTTGACTTGGGCTATTCTGCATGTCAAAGTTACACAGAAGGAATTAGTATCCAACCAAGCACTTACTCTCAGGCTGTAAAGCGTATATGGCAATAGATATTTAAACTGACACTTAAACCAGACTTGTACATTTCACAAACATAAAAATAGCCAAGTTTGTACTAAATTTCTATTTTACCATAAGCACTTCAGTCATTTAGTAGTGAGTTCCCATCTAGAGACCGACCAAGATGGTGCTCGGAGACTGATGCACTTCAGTGCAGCCTGGGAGATTAGGGCCGGGGGGGGGGTTGGGGGGGGGGGGGAGTGTCCCCAGGATTCTGTCTTCTGCAACAACTACTTGGAACTGCTATGGCAGAGCAGCAACATCAGGCATTTTGGGGTCTAGGGACACCAACAGACAGATACCCAACTCAACCCATTTCATTTAATCCTAAGGAGGCTGTACGTTTGCTTACGTAATGCCTGAATTAATGACAGGCTGGTTGAGGATGGGTTTCACCTAATCAAAGTAGTGAGATTTCGGCCTACACTGGTTGGGATTGTGTTCGTCTCTGAAGAATCTGTTTTGCAGCATGGGTGTAGTGCTTGACCAAGCATTGCTTTTTGATGCCCAGAAGTGTCTCTTGCCAATTCAGGAGAGATATGACCTAGCCATACTGCCTTGGTGACACCCAGGTTAGGGGCTACCTTCTTGCAAGCTGTAGTTCCAAACACCACTGCCCAGCTGCAGACAGGAACAAGCTCCTTTGATTGTTCTACCAGATTCACCTAACTTGACTGGCTTCTACTTTTTTCCTAGGATTAAAGCCTTAAGACAATTGTGGCATCCTAGTCCCAGTTATCACTTTCTCCATTTTACGCTCACCCATGCACTGAGGTCAGCCAGAGAGGGCATGTTTCACCACCAGCTAGACATTTGGCAGGTGATTTGTTGATTAAAGACAGGACATTCTTGGTGGTGATACTAAGACTTCAATATTCTCTCCCTTGGGATGCGCCTTTGACTTCCCCTGTCTCTTTGAAATAAAGTAAAGATCCTTTTTCAGCAAAACCATTGACCAAGGCGATGATAGTTCTGGGCATGTTTCTAACAACTTTTAATTCTGGTTGCTCAGATGGCCATTAAGACTTGTTTGTTGCATGGATGTATTGCAGTTTTTATATTGTGAGAGCAACAGTTTTACTGAACACACCTTTGTATAGCTACAACCATGGGGAAAAGTATAACCACCAAGCACAGTAAACAAAGCCTGCATTTTTGTGATCAATGATGAGTATTTACAACTGCCTGCCTTGCACCTGGCTCAGTTTTCTGAATTAAAAACTCAGAGTTTCATACTTTCCCCTTTTGGCTTTACACAGACAAGTTCTGTAGTGCAAAAGTTATTATGGGGTATACAGCCAAAGGCTTTGCATTAAATTCTTGAAGTACTGTGGAGGATCTATATTTGCAAACTGACTAGGATCAGGAGAAGCTTCCCTTTGTGTACAGGTAGGGGAGGAAGAGAGTCGACTTTACTATCTAGTAGCAACCCCTCTGGACTCAGAATAAACTTCCTTGGGTTTTGGAATCAATCAGCAGATTGAATCAGCAGTGACTTTTGCTATGCTGTGGGAGTCCCTTCCAACGTCCGGTAAGATTATGTCTGGTAGTGCGGAACCAGCACGTGGACAAACAGCCACAACAGCGGAGGGAAGGGGGCAGGAACTACAGCCCCTCCTGGCAAACAATGCTCCACTGACAAGAGGTGCAATTTCACCACCTTCTTCCCTCCTCATTTTAGTCTTCAATATTGAACCCAAGTGCTTGTCCAAAGTCATCCTGAAACACCAGAGAACTCTTCCAGAGGTTGAAAGGGACTTGGGGGGGGGGAGAAGCATATTGAGCTGTCTCCATTCACTTGTGCCTTCAGCAGTGTCAGCAAGCTGCCAAGTGTTTCTTATGTTTCCCTTTCATGCGCATTCCTTCCCTGGCACTTAATTGCCTCGCAACTCGTATCTTTCAAGGCCGCTGGAGGAGTTGCTTTGGCTTTACCCAGGATGAGTCGTGGGAAGCTCTTACCTGGTTTGCTTTTTGTAGCCGTTTGTTCTCAAGCCTAATGCCCGCACGCGGGAACCCCTGTAATTGAGTCTTTCTGATATGAATGTCCTATAACCTTTCATGCGCATAGATCATCCGCCATTCCTAATAGTGTTCCTGTTAACGCATCTATAGCTTCAATAAAAGTAAAACCTTCTTATGAGTGTGTACTTCGTTGTTGCTGTGGGTCCTGACAAGCGGATGAACTGTTGGATCCAGGAACACACTGCACCATTCTAATGGCATGACTATTAATCAGAAGATCCAACAAAGTTTTAAAGTAAGCTAATAGTACCCTCACATTTGATTCCTTTCAGTGAAAATGATTACCCCACCAGTTTCTATAGAGGTAACACCATAAAAGATGCCAAACTACACAGACCAAATTATACACATGACTAAAAGATATATGTTACCTCAAGGGGTTCTGCCTTCAGTTCATGGATGGCTTTGGCTGGTACCAGAGTCTGGAGAGGCACAGACTTCGAAAAAGAAGAACAGAACCCAACCATGCTGCATAAGGACTGTGGTGACTAGGGACAGACAAAACAGCTACATGTTATCCCCATGTGGACTACAGAAAAGGAAGAGCATTCAGGGTTAACCACCACATTGCAGAAACTATGAGTCTTCAAATCTCCACCACCAAGGCTGTTCAAGACTATGCTACTTCTAAGAACTCAAACAAAAGGAAGACGGAATTCCCAAAAGCAACTGAATAGTGCAGTAAAAGCAAAAATACAACTTGACCTAGAACATGTTTAGGCAAGAGACTTTAAAAGCTACAGACTTCAGAACTGTAAGACACAGGAGAGCAGAGATACCATGCCCATTAATGCCTCATAACTTAATACTGTATACATTTCTGATGTTACGGCAAGATCTCAGTTCTCAGATCTCCAATTTTAACAGTTAATTACATTCACAGAACATCTCATTGGAATCATAGTTGCGTGAGAAGAGGCTAGGGGTGGAAGAACTGTCAGCCCTTTAAATCAAAAGGGGTACCTAACTTTTCCCTTTAATGGGAACATATGGATTAGGAAACCTGACCTGGAAGCCCCAATCTCATCAGATCTCAGAAGCTAAGCAGGGTCGGCCCTAGCTAGTATCTGGATGGCAGACTACCAAGGAATACCAAGGTCATGATGCAGATGCAGGTAATGGCAAAGCACCTCTGAACGCCTCTTGCTCTGAAAACCCTACGGGGTTACCATAAATCACCTGTGACTTGATGGCACTTTCCATCACCATCATGGATTAGGAAATCCAGCTTGTTCACTATGATGCAAAGGCAATGCTCAGAGAAAACCAATTAACTTGCTGAATCATATAGCTAGATAATCCTGCCACGGATGATCACAACATAGAAGTGATAATATATATGGTATTCCTCAAGAACTGAGTAGAGTTACAACTCCCAACCACTTAATGCTTTATGAAAAGATAAAACTGAAGGACCCCACTTATTAGTGGTTTACACTGCAGCTTTATAGTGAGAGACCACCACAATCCAGCCAGGTATCAGAATGCTGTTTTGGTTTTAGAAATCTTCAGAATTTGGGAAATTGTTCAAAAAAGGAACATAACATATAATCTGAAGCAGTACTGAGCAGAACTTCTCTGTTACACACAGCTATTAGGAACGTTGTAGAACTTCTGCCTTATTAAGCTCACAGGAGTAGCGCTTGCTGCAAGTTCTGCCCTTATAATGAATCTACTTTCCCTACTTTGTTACAAACTATTGTTAGCTATCCCTAATTTCTACCTATTTGTTCTTTGAAGGCGATATGCAATCTTAACAAATCCGATGTGAAATTTTAAGCTCAGCTTCTTAATTATGCTCATTTTAAATACCATTAATATGAGAAAGTAGTGCTAATATTTAGTCATTTTAAAAGAGACATTTAAAAATCTCAGGTGCGCATTATGCATAACTAAGTGGGACTGAAGATACTTTTTGAAGACCATCTTTTCTAAGAGACTTGCTGGCATTCTCAAGTGCGCATACTTTTGTTTCCTTTCTTGGGAAAAAAGTATTACTCAAGATACATTAAACAGAAAGTACCAAGCAGTATGCAGACTCAGTAGCAATTCTAAAGGCATGCTTATAGAAGGAAAGCATTCTGTAGTTCTCGTGTCCACAATGACCAAAGATGAACCAGCTTCCTACCAAGTTTTGTTACTCCATTGTGACAGAAGTCGAACATGGATGTTTTCCAGATATCCTTTGTGAAAGGAACAACAATCCCTAAACATTTTTCCTTCAAGCCCTGAAGGAACGGTTCAAAGGAGGCTTTTCCCCCCTCCTGCTACAGTAAGAGGCCAAAATGTAGCATGCATTTCTCTTTCCACATAATCATGCTTCAGGTAAGGTATGCCGGTCCAGTGTTTTAGGCAGCCTGCTGTAACTTTCTCATGCAAAAGCAAAAAGGATATGCCACAGGCAATAACAGCTCCCCCTCCCATGTCACTTCATGCAACTGCCACCAGCATTCTAAGGTCAAACTACAGCAATACTAAACACATGCAACATGTATTACCACTTAACCATGACAGACGCAAGGCCATCGGGAAATCTGAGTCCGTTTTTCTAGTCTCAAGTTTGCATTCCTAGGTGCAAAAGGCTCTGCTCACTAGTGTTACCTATGGAGTTACAGTTCACTGGCTTCCTGGGGCACCTGGGAGTGCCTTTTAAAGTAGCTTTACTCAAATTTTAACTTAGCTCAATTTTTTTTTATTCTGAACTGCAGAACAGTCTCAGGACAAAATTTTAGTGGACTCCTAAATGCAAGTCCACCTCTGCAGTCCCCCTCAATTCCTTGTATCTGTCAAAGCTGAACCTTCCCAAACCACACACACACAGAGCTATGTTAGCCAGAAATTAAGCTAGATTTTCAAGTTAAAAAGAGCATAGTCCCACAAGCAGGCTCTCTCACATACCTGTTCCTGCTGTTGACAAAATGCAGAAAAAGGAAGACAAAATAGTTAGGAATGGGAGGAAAAACAAATCACACCAAATGGTACATACAAGATTTCACAGCAGAGAGGAAATTTTGCTAGAGATTACCACGCTCGCCATGCATTAAGAAAATAAGAATGAACCCTGACCTGGATAGCCCAGGCAAGCCCAATCTCGTCAGGCCTCAGAAGCTAAGCAGGGCCGACTCTGGCAAGTATTTGGATGGGAGACCTCCAGATAATACCAGGAGTCCAGAGGCAGGCTATCAAGCCACTTCTCTGAACGTCCTCTGTGCCCCAGTAGGAGTCAGAGGTTGCCATGACTTCCAGGCACAGGGACACACACACACACAAATGAAAAGGAAAAAAAGGAAAAGAAAAATAAGAATGAACTCAACATTTAGCCCATTGAGACAGAATCTCGAAACACTCTCACAAATATCAGAGAACCTAAACTTCTCATTGGTCAACACTATTCAATTTCTGCCTCCATAGTTTAAAATCTATTTTTGCTTCCATTTCCTAAAGGCAGCCACTCAACTGGTAAGAGTGCCTTTTCTATGAATGAATAAATAATAAGTCATTTGTGTAAATATTACAGTTGAAGGAAACAAGTACTGTATGAAAAAGAGATTCTTCTAAAAATTTTTTAGAATTTTAGCCTCTGGAATAATTACTCTTTACACTAATGATATTAATTCTATATTAAGTCACCCAAATCATTTCTGACAGTACCAATATTAACATATTTTAATTAACTGAGGGAACCCTTCAAAACAAAAGGCATAATTATTAAAATGTGTGAAATATTCATCTTACCATCTGCACAAATAATTGAATAGCCAGGTCTGAATACTGGGAGATGTAATCTTTGCACTATTGGAGGAGAGGGGGGGGGGGAGAGACAAAATTGACATGAGGTAAATATTTCCATAGCAACAGCCAATATCAAGCATAGGGTAACTCAAAGCAGTTAGGTGGGCCACAAGGGATCTTGACTGGAGCTAGGTGGTCTACCCCATGACAGCACCTGACTCTGTAAGAGACCACTTATCCGTCGGGGGAGAGCAGAGCACCACTGAGGTCCCCCCCCCCAAGCATGTTCCTTTGTGAAGTGGTGCTGAGTTCTGCCTTCCATTCTAAATTTCTTCTTCAAAATTCATCAGCTCAATCCCAGGCAGGGCTGCAGCGTCCTTGGCCTACAACCAGCTTAGGCTCCCCTCACTAAGGGGGCTTGGACTGCAGAGCCTCCAGCTTCAGGGCCTGGTGGTCAAATATGGCTCCTCCTGCCACTTGCCTAGATTCCTTTTTAGCTGGCACAGGCTTGTGCTGCACTACCAACATCCCTCTAGCCACAGCAAAAACAAAGACTCATCCACAGGAAGGCAATAGGTCGGGGCTGCCATCTAAATGCAGAAGAGCCACCCAAGCCCATCCTGCGGCGGCATCTTCACCTGTCCTGGACAAGATGAGGTTCAGCCAGCCATCAGCAGCCTGGGGACCAGGCAAACTGAACATATCAGGAGGAGTGGTTTGGATGCGGCCAGGCCGCTTCTAGTTGCCGGGGATAAGGGCCCTGTAGTGAGTTACCACAAGCCTCCTTTGAAGGTAGCCCAGCTTCAGCCTGGCTCCCAATGTGAAGGGCTGGTAAAACCCACCTCCTGAGCCCCCTCCATCTCCAGATTGCATTGGCAAACTTAGGCAGATAGGCTCAGAAACACGGGTGCCTTGCTGCTGGCTCTCCAGCAGGTTGGTCTCAACCCCATGCTGGCCCTGGGACAAGTGAGAGGGGCTCTTCCTTGGTGCAGCTGGCTATGTGCCTACAGGCTAACTCTCCCCCCACCTCAGTAACCAGCAGCAGTTCCAGCTCACGGTGCAACTTTATGTTGCTCATCTGTCAAGTGGGCAGGTCAGTCTTGCCTGCCAACTGCATGACAGCCATGGAACACCCTAGCTGAGCAGGGCGTGGCAATGGCTCTGCCCTCAGCCTCACCAGCACCAGCCCCCTTCCAAGGTGGCGCACACCCAGCTTCCTGCATGCCAAAGGACCTCGGGGGGGGGGGGGGGATTACAGCTTTATCCCATTCAAGGCCCAGCTTCCCCCTGTACCACTGGGGTAGAGACGGGGGCTGGCTCTTGGGCACTGGCTCCTCCTGACTCTGCTGGCCTACAGGTCACTCTGGAAGTGGTGTCCATCAGGTTCCTTAGACACTGTGTGTATGGTGGGGTGGGGGGAAATAACACTGCCTCTGAGGTGGTGGTGTCCTTCCTCCAGGAAACTTATGGTGTGTCTGAGAGAACAGGGCTACAGTAGCAAGATGTTTCCAAGGGTGTTCTTTTTTGGGGGGGAATGATACATGACAAGGTTCTGCTGGGCCACATGATTAGGTAAGACTCTACTTCAAAAGCAAATCTGGTATATCCAAAATGCATGTTGTGAAATATAAAGCCCTTCATGAGGCAAAGCAGGGCAGCTTAATCAAGATTAAAAGAGAGGCATGATTCAGCGCTGCCTGTAGCTTGCCATTACATGAAGTATACTGGGGACCCTTAGGCTCACATCCTTCCCCTTCAGGCTTAGAAGTAACAAAACTTAGATTCTTGAGTCCAAGCTGCAAAAAATAGCCTGTTCTTGGCTACAAACTAGGGCAGCCACAGTTTATAGTTGTGTAAACTGCACCACAGATCTTCCATCCTCATGAGGACCTTAGAAAAACAGCTTAGTCTAAGTGATGAACATTAACCAACTATATTCTCCCCTGCCTTCCACAGAGCAAGCTACTGGTTCCGGTACTACTTCCAACATTGACACCTCAATCAAATCCATTTGTCAGCAAAATTAAGTAGTCCATTACCTGATCAACCATGGAAGGCGCCAAGTGTTCACATTCTTCTAGTGCGTGCTGAATAAACCGTTGCACAAAGGATGAATTGCTCTTCACGGCTTCCTGAACATCAGTTACCAGCTGAACGCAGTCTTTACATACATCCCCACTTCCCTGTAATAAGCAAGCAAATTCAGTCAGCATTATCTTTGTACGGAGCCATGACAATACCTATCTGAGAAAAGCTTTATACTGCATGTTAAAATGCCCTTGAGATCAAGCAATTTGACTAGGGGGGGGGGGAATGTGTTTCAAGGCACTAAATCATCCTATACAATGCTGAACTCTAAAAATATTTTAAATAAATTTCAATTACAATTTTTTACAACAATGTAGAATTTGTTTGGGTTTATTCTCATGAAATGGCCATTGGCATATAACCACTGGAACAAGGGCTCCTCCCCCAGCCTCCACGAAGCTTGAAGAAAATTTCAGACCCCTGTGGATGAGAGAACTTGAGCCTCTGCGCCTCAATATAGGAGAAGGCGTGTGTTGGTAATTGGGGATTCCCTACTGAGAGGGGTAGTAGCTAAAGTGTGCCGACTGGACTTATCTCAAGAGGCATGCTGTCTACTGGGTGCACGCATCCAGGATGAGACAAAAAGCCCTATTATTATCCCTTCTTGCTCATCCACGTGGGAACAAATTATACCAGCCGGCACAGCCCAGAACATATTAAGGGAGACTATGTGCCTCTGGGTAAAAAGGTGAAGGAATTGGGAGCGCAGGTTGTATTCTTGTCAGTTCTTCCTGTCAAAGGCCATAGCTTAGGAAGGGAAAGAACAATACTGCAGATCAATGACTGGCTATGTAGATGGTGTCATCAGGAAAGGTTCGGATTTTTAGACCATGGCTTATGCTTTCGAGATGAAGCTCTTCTATTGGGAGATGGTTTGCACCTCACAAAGGTAGGAAAAATGTGTTTGGAGACAGCCTTGTAAACCTAATAAGGAGAGCTTTAAACTAAATCCTGTGGGGGAGCGAGACAAAAATGCAAAGTCCAGTATAATGCCAATAACTGGAGGTAAGTACTCTAAAGTTTTGCGGGGAGTGGCACATGCTAGATAACATTAACTCACATGTAAGTACAGAAACTAAAACCTCAGGGTGCATAAAACATGGGTTCTAATGTCTCTACACTAATGCGCAGAGTATGGGAAACAAGCAGGAAGAACTTGGAAGTCCTAATACAGGAAGGGGACTATGACCTAATAGGCATTACTGAAACTTGGTGGGATGACACTCATAATTGGAATATTAGGATTGCAGGGTATAACTTATTTAAAAGGGACAGACAAATAAGGAAGGGTGGAGGACTCACATTATATGTAAAAGAGGTATATATTTGTGAGGAAATACATGAATCTGAGCATGAAAGTCCAGTTGAGAGTCTCTGGGTAAAAATAAAAGAAGAAATAATAGTGATATTATGATGGGGATCTGCTATAGACCACCAAGCCAGGCAGAGGATTTAGATGAGACACTCCTAGAACAGATTACAAAGTTCTCAAAGAGACAGGACACAGTTATTATGGGAGATTTCAATTACCCAGATATCTGTTGGAAGTCCAACTCTGCTAAAAATGAAAGGTCCAATAAATTCCCGATTTCTCTTGCTGACAACTTCATTTTCCATAAAGTGGAGAGGGAAACAAGGGGATCTACTATCTTGGACTTGATCCAAGGAAGAACTAGTTGATAAAGTAAAAGTAGTGGGCACCCTGAGTAGTAGTGACCATGTAATTTTGGAATTTACAGTCATGGGGAAGGTAAAAGCTGTACGTAGTTAGACATATAGGATGGACTTCAGGAAAGCGAATTTTGACAAATGTAAAGTTATGCTGGGTAGAATCCCATGGTCAGAAATACTTAAGGAGAAGGGAGTTCAAAAGGGATGGGAGTTTCTTAAAAGTGAAATACTGAACGCACAATCACAAACGATTCCTATGAGAAGGAAAAATGGGAGAAGCTGACTCCAAAAACAGCTTTCTAAAGACACGAGAAAAAGACTCATTCAGAAAGTGGAAGAAGGGCCTTATAACCAAGGATGAATATAAACAAATAACCAGTGCTTGTAGAGAGAGAGTTAGGAAAGCTAAAGCTCAGTATGAGCTTAGGCTAGCGAGAGAAGCTAAGAACAGTAAAAAGGGGTTCTTTTTTATGTTCAAAGTAAGAAAAAGAGCAAGGAGATGCTAGGCCCATTGCGGGGACAGGAAAGTGAAATTGTAACAGGTGATGAAGAAAGGACAGAACTGCTCAATTCCAACTTTTACTCCTCTTGCAAGGGAAACTGTGCTCAATATGGCAAAAACAGAACAAACGATGAGGGAAGCGAGTTGCAGCCTAGGATCGGCATAGGGCAGGGGTGGCCAAACTTGTTTAAGAGCCACATAGAATAAATGTCAGATATTTGAGAGCCGCAAGACATGAACAAATATTACATGCACATTTTTATTGGAAAATATGCAAATTTGCTTTTTATTAACATTAAATTACACTGCCAAAAATAAAAACAAAAGGAGTAAAACCAGATATTAATAATGACATTTATCTGTCCAATGTTATTTATTTGTTTGCTAATGATATTGATTTGTCTAAGAGAGAGGTGGAAGGAAAGAATGTAACAGAAGAAAGAAAAAGAGAAATAGAGAAACAAAGAAAGCAAATAGATGGGGAGGGAGGGAGGGGGAAGGAAGAGAAAGAGGGAGGGAGGGAGGAAGAGAAAAAGAGAAAGGTGGAAAGAAAGCAAATAGATGGGGAGGGAGGGAGGAAGGGGAGAGAGAGAGGAAGAGAGAGTAACGAAAAAAGTAAATAGATGGGGGAGGGGGCTTGGAGAACGCCTTTAATTTCAAATGTGTTCTCCAAACCTGCCCCCACTGCCACGTCAGCTGGGCTTGGACTTGGAGAAGGGATTTAAAGAGACAAATGCCTTCTCCAAGCCAAGCCAGCTGGCCGGTGTGGCAGTGTGGTGGGGCTTGGAGAACACATTTAACTTTAGATAGGGAGGGAGGGAGGGGAAAGAAAGCAAATCAATGGGGGGGGTAAGGAGAGGTGGAAGGAAAGCCACTTTAGATGCGTCCTATAAGCACACGCACACACACCCAAGCTTGTGATTTATTAAATGTATACCCCTGCCCTACCCCAAAAAATGGGCACTGGAGAAGGGATTTAAAGAGACAAATGCCCTCTCCAAGCTGGCCAGGGGGGAGGGCTTTGAGAACGGATTTGAAGTTGCTTTCTTTCTCTGCTCCCCCCCCCACCTCAAGCCTACCCAGGGAAGGGAAGGCTGCCTGGGGAAAGGAAGACCGATTGGGGAGGCATGCCTTCACTTCACTTCCCCAGCTGCCCTGCCGGGAGTCGCACAATATGTGTGAAAGAGCCACAGTTTGGCCACCCCGGCACAGGGTTTAGTACATAATCACCTAGTTTCTTTAAATGAAATTAAGTCCTCAGGGCCAGTTGAACCGCATCCAAGGGTACTAAAAGAACTCGCAGAACTCCATTATATTTGAGAATTCTTGGAGAACATGTGAGGTGCCAGAAGATTGGAGGTGGGCAAATGTTATCCCCATCTTCAAGAAGGGGGGAAAGGAGGATCTGGGTAACTACCTATCTGTCAGCTTGACTTCTATACCTGGGAAAGTTTTAGAACAAATCATCAGACAGCCCTTGAGCATTTAGAAAGGATGGGTGTGATTACTAAGAGCCAGCTTGGGTTTCTCAAGAACAAGTCATGTCAGACTAACCTTATCTCTTTTTTTGAGAAAGTTACTACTTTGTTGGGTAAGGGGAATGCTATAGACATAGTTTATCTTGATTTTAGTAAGGCTTTTGATAAGGTTCCATATAATATTCTTGTTGACAATTTGGTAAAATGTGGTTTGGCTCCTATAACTGTTAGGTGGATCTGTAACTGGTTGACAGAATGGTTCCTCATCCTCTTGGAGAAGAATGACAAGTGGAGTGCTTCAAGGATCTGTCCTGTGACCTGTTTTGTTCAACATCTTCATCAACAATTTGGATGAAGGGATAGAGGGAATGCTTATTAAATTTGCAGATGATATTAAATTGGGAGGGGTAGCAAATACGGTAGAAGACAGAGTCAGAATGATCTTGACAGGCTGGAAAACTTGTCTAAAACAAAATGAATTTCAATGGGGATGAATGTAAATTTCTGCATTTAGGTAGGAAAAATCAAATGCATAATTACAGATTGGAGGAGACTTGTCTCGGCAGTAGTATTTGTGAAAAGGATCTAGGGGCCTTAGTAGGCCTGCATTCCATCTGGCCGAACAGCTTCTGGCTGTGTATGGCCCTAGGAAAAGATTGTAATAAATTGTATATGTAAAACCGCTCAGAGCCCTTAGGGGGTGAGCAGTCTACAAATCGAAGGAATTAAAAAAAAAAGCTTAAAAAGACAAATGCAATTTTGGGCTGTATCAACAGAAGTATAGTGTCCAGATCAAGCAAAGTGATGGTACCACTATACTCTGCTCTGGTTAAACCTCACCTAGAGTATTGTGTTCAGTTTGGGGCACTACAATTTAAGAAGAATATAGACAAGCTGAAATGTGTCCAGAGGAAGGAAACGAAGATGGTGAAGAGTCTGAAGACTAAGCCTTATGAGGAAAGGTTGAAGGATCTGGGTATGTTTGGCCTGGAGAGAGATGCCTGAGAGGTGATATGATAACCATCTTCAAGTACTTGAAGGGCTGTCATATAGAGGATGGTACGGAGTTGTTTTCTGTTGCCCCAGAAAGTCAGACCACAGCCAACAGATTGAAATTCAATCAGAACAGTTTTCGGTTAAACATTAGGAAGAACTTCCTGACAGAGCAGTTCCTCAGTGGAACAGGCTTCCTTGGGAGGTGGTGGGTTCTCCTTTTTTGGAGATTTTCAAAAAGAGGCTAGATGGCCATCTGACAGCAATGCTGATTGTGTGAACTTAGGCAGATCATGAGAGGGAGAGCAGGAAGGGTTGCCTCAGTGCTTAGTTCTTGTGGCCCTTTCTTACATGCCCAGGGAAATGCTGATTGCCACTTTGGGGTCAGGAAGCAATTTTTCTCCAGGCCAGTTTAGCCAAGGATCCTGGAGGTTTTTTGTCATCTTCTGGGTGTGGAACAGTGGTCACTGGGTGTGTGGAGGGGGAGGTATTTGTGAATTTTCTGCATTATGCAGGGGGTTGGACTAGATGACCCTGGAGGTCCATTCCAACTTTATGATTCTATGATCAGACATTACATTCTCACCTGAGACTTTTCTTTGGGCTGCTCCTGGGGATAAAGAAGCAGTGGCACATTAGCCATAAAAGGAGATGCCAGCTCAGAGAAGTCAAGTTCAGGAATCTTGTTCGACTGAAGCTGCTTCTGCAGTTTCACGGATGCTAGGTGTTTCTGAAGAGACTGGCACAATGTGAGAGCATTGCACACAACTCCTGGATTATCCTGAAAAATGAAAAACAGCATTACACTTTTCCTTTGTCTTTACCTACTTTCTACACCAATACAGAAAAAGCCATCCAAGTACTCCCCATGAACTGAAGCTAATGGCTGATGGAAAACAACACTAGAATCATAGCATGTATAGACTTAATCTCAACAACTGCTCTCCTCAGACTAACCATGTTCATTTCCCCACTCCTTGTCAATCAGAAAATATTTTCTCAAGACCTGAATCCTGGGAAATAAAACAGTCTAGCCAAACAAATACACATGCTACTTTAGCTTGTCTGATTAATTCTTTTTTTTAATTAACAATTTTTATTGAAGTTTTGATGGTACAAACAGATATTAATACCAACTGTCTGATTAATTCTGACTCAAAAATTGTTTTTTCTCAACGCAGAATGGCTTCAGTTTTTAATAGTCTACTTACAAACTCCCCCTTAATCATGTCCAGAATGTTGGGCAGGTAAGAATCCACCATCTCCTTGCATTCAGACACTAGGCCTTGATCAGAAAGAAACTCACAGGCCTTACTCATGTAAGCATGGATTTCTTCCTATGACATAAAATAGACATATTAGTACAGACTCTTCTAGAACAGATTGGCCTATCTTTCATTCTCAGAATAAAATCTTTAATGACAACTGATACATTCACCCATCAAATAAGCATACCAGGAGTGAGGTCTTCCCCCAAGTTGTTTAACTTCAGAAAGTTTAATGAGGACCAAATGTTATATCCTATAGTGCCCTCTGGGGTGTGATGTGGTTTCTCACAGCCTCAGGAAAGAGCCAGTCTTCGCCCACCAACAGATATTTTTTTTTTTTGGGGGGGGGGTGTCTGCCTTCCTGATAGCCATCCACCTGTACATTCTCACATACATCTATTATACAATAGGAAGCCTAAGCCAGGAAGCACTATGGGAGTAAGATTTGTAGTCTTAATGATCCACCTCCCAAATCAGGGCTACATCAAAATTAGGAAATCATAAGCCAGAAACCCAGAAGGACTTGCAGGGGGCATCTCACCCCCACTATTTCCTCTTTGCCTTCCCTCTCCTCTTTTCCTGCTTCGTTCTCTCCTTACCCACCTGCGCACCCACCCTTATTACCCCCATCTTTGCTCCCCCCCAGCCTCCACCCAGGGAAGCTATGGCCCAGTTACATGGTGCTGGCCCTGGGCCAGACCCAGATGCACAGTGAGGAACCTGCAAGGACTTGCAGGGTGGTACTGCCTTTTCCCCTTTACCCATCATATGCTGGTCACTGGACAGGACCCCAATGAATCTATCCTCCAAGGCCAAAACAATCCTGAAAAGTTCCCTGCTCCCACCCCCAGCTTTTTACTGGCAGTAAAAAAGGCTCAAAAGCTGGCACTGCTGTTGTGGCTGCCTATCAATGGCCATTTGTATCTTAAAAATTCAGGTGCTAATTTTATCATTGGGGTTAATCCTCCAATGTTTAAATTTCAGATTTTCCCCCCTGCAAACCTGGTTTTTTTCCCCTCAGGTTCATAGAAAGATCAATCTTGTCTGTTCATGGCTCCAGTCTCTGGTTTAAGTATTTACAGATCTGGCAACTCTGAGGATTTTATATTTATTGATGCTGCGCAAATGGACAATAATGACCTCAAAGGGCATGCGTATATACTAGAACTCAAGTTTTGTTGTCCTGTAGTTTGTCTTTATCAAAATAAACAGGGTGCCCTTCAGGGGGGAAAAGACCATTCTTACCTCTGTGTCATTATTCTTCAAGAATTTCCCAGCCACTGTTACAATTTCTTTGCACAGCTCACAAGGGATGCTTTCCTGAAGAAAGAAAATCCATCATTTTAGCACAACAGAGAAACCTGTGCAGATCACCACCTCGACAGCAAATGTTTCCTTCATTATACTCTTTATACGCTCAGCTAACTTTCTTTTCCCTTGCCCCTTCAAGGAAAAAAAAGGTACAGTTAACTGCAGCAGTCTATATGTTCTCTTGTACTGGAGAGCAAAACCAGTGCCCCAGTTTTTAAAAAACTTAATACAGAAAGGCAGAGCAAGACAAAGGAGGCAGAGGACTGGCCAGCTGAGCTTGGTTTTTAAAAGACTGCTTAACATAACCAAGGTACTTCCTAGTTTACACAGCTGAAAGTAATAGACGGGAGTAGATTTTATGAGACTGCACATTTTTGCTCACTGGCAAGGAGAGAGTAACCGGAACTAAATCACAGGACAATCTGGCTTTCAATCGCAGTTCTGCTGCCTCCTGTGTTGCTTCATACCAGATGACTGACTAGTGAAGCCCTGAAGTCGTCCTCAGTATGTCACAGCCACATGCCGCTGCTGGCTGGTCTGCAGATGGATTTTTCTTACGGCTCTGGGTTTGCAAGCCTCACCTCCTTCTGTACAGGGAGCAAACCTTCCTTCTTTTGGAGGGAATAAAAACCATTATTTCCCCCAAAGCAAACAGTTGATCCAGCTTTCTTTCCTGGTGCAGGACACGTTTCAGGAAAGCCCAGGAGGCACTGCCTGTCTGCAGGGAAGACTCAATCAGAAGCAACTGCCTCCATCATAGGATGGCAAATGGCCTAGAATCTCCCAGCATTTATGATTAGCCCTTCCTTAGGAGCAGCTTTTTTCTGATTGGTACTGGCCCAGAGGCAACCATGTTGTGGCTATGCTCACTACCTCTTCTTAAGATTCCAAAAGTGCCTGCAAACTCAACAATGCAGGGGGGCCCTGAAACAAGTCACATACAATATGTTTGGCAAGTTATGACTGCTAAATAGACATGTGCTTTCATTCTCACATGACAGTTTAAACCAGCAGCTACCAGCCCCTGCTGCTTTCTAGGACACACTGAGTACTCAAGTCTGCAATTAACTCACCCAGCTTAGTGCACTCACATAAAAATGCCACCTCACAGCTGCTCTTCATCTACCATGCCTCCAAGCAGATATAATTCAGTAAGGCAAACAACACGTGACTACACAATCATTCGGAATATGGTCTTCCAACATTTTGCCACCTTCACTCACCACTGTAGGCTTGTTCCAGACATTCTGTTGACAGTGCTTGACAGCATTGCAATGTGAAGCTGTTTTTAAGTTCTCACACCATACTTCAGGGCCCTGCGCACAATCTTTCTGAAATACAATGGGATTTGCCAGAGCTGTTGGAGTAAAAAAAATGCTCAGATTACTCATTTGAAACACTTTCTTTCATCCTGCATAGCAGTTCAAAGTTTCACAAGATAGGTTTAACTGCACACTTACCAAAAAGACTTGGTCTATGGTTTTCATTCCCTCCATAGTGACAATGACACTATGTGAATAGGACTGGAAGAACCCTGGTCACACACTACCCCTCTCCTCCACAAATGTGGTAAAGCAATTGCATCCCGATTCTCAGCTAGCTCTATGTGCCTGCCATGTCAGATATAATGCCAATGCCTTATGCTTGCCATGCAAATCATGGCTGTAAAGCATGGCGTAGACGACAAGCAGAACCCATGGTTTGTAAGCTTGGATGCAGCATTAAACTACAGTTTGCCAAAAATTATGAATGGTAAACAGCTCACTGTACTTGAAGGGAGAATCATGCAGGGTTCCTGAAACTCCTTCCATGCTGATATACTACCAAACCACGGTTTCAACCCTGAGCTCGCACAAAAACAGTTAACCATTTGTTTTGGGGTAGTCTACACTCCTGAATTTATAAGTCGTGCAGCTGGCATGCACCTATGTGCAACGCAGTAAGACTATGTTAACTGTCAGTCCTTGGATCATTTTGTGCCTTTATACCCATGCACGTGCTTGTTTTGTTTGCCACTTGGAAAGAATAGCTGCGCTAGAATAAGACAGATGGACTATGACTTGCTACTAAGGTAACATCACTGAGATAGCAAACAAACTAGGGACAGTTACTGGATTGTGTTTTGCCCAAAGGTAATGTGACAATTGAAGAACCAATGAAACCAAGTAAGGCTAGAGAAAACGAGCTGGTTTATATTAGACTTTTACTGGTCAAGAATTGTTTTCTAGAACTAGTAAGTCCAGTGGCACCTTAAGATTTCCCAGGTTTAAGCTCCTGAGAGTCAAATCTCCCTCTGTCCCTATCTGACTCTTGAAAGCTCATATCCCCAAAATCTTGATTGTCTCTACGGTGCTAATGGACTCAAATCTAGCTGTTCTACTACAGACCAGTATGGCTATTTTTTAAAAAGCATGTTTCTCACCACCTCCAAGACCTGAATTTGGAGATCTATATTTGGGTGTTTATGAAACACTCATAATGATATGGAAAACTTTCAAACCAATGTTTTAAGTTAATAGTTTCAGCCAATTCATAGTACTGTAAATCTTATATCTGAGTTTCAAAAGACAGTAGTTTTAGTCGTGGCATCACTAAACCAAAAATATTCTTGAGATTTGACGCCAGAAAAGTATTTCGGTTTATTAGAATTCAACACAGTATCTCAATACAATCTCCTGTAGTTCATTCGGATGCTCATGCCTATCACACCTGCAGACAGGATCCGAATTCCTCCTTATTGTGCCATTTCATTTAATTGACGGTTTTTGTGAATTCTTATTAGCTACTCTGAACACCCAGAGCAGAAAAAAAGCCAAAAGAACATTGAAATAACTGTGTTCAAATCAGTCTTCCACAAACTTTGCTGGCTGGCTTTGGGTCAATCACACCGAACCAACCTATTTCACAGGGTTGGTGTCAAGACCCCAAGCTTCTAGGAAGATGGACTGGAATAAGAATAGACTAGATAGCTCCCAGCCAACCATCTCTCTACAACCATCTTGCAGCCTGTTATCTGAGCAATTATGTACATTGTCCACTTCCTCTTAGTGCCCCCATTCTCACAATTCTTGTGGCCCTGGCACAGTAGGCACATACAGTTTTAAACTTTGGAAAGACCTTCAAGTCCTCACAACAGTTATCAAGCACATTTCCAGCTTTTCAACAACTATGTAAAGTTTTTCAACTTTATCCTCAAAGCAAAGCTTTTGGTCACAGCTACAAACACCTTCTAGAGATTGAAATGCAGTTTGCTTAGGCCAGGTGTTCAAATTTTCTGACGCTCAAAGGAAAAGAAGTTCTGATAAATTTTCTGAACACCCACATTCACTACGGTCACAGAAAACTGGGCGCTCTCTCTCTCCCCTTAATGTTTACAAACTAGGCAGACAAGTGTAAAAGGGGGAGGGGAGGGGGAGGGAGAAAGGTAGGAAAGAAGAAAGGAAGGGGAGGGAGAGAGAGAGAGAGAGAGAAAGGGGGGGAGAGAAAGGAAGGTGGAAGGGATGGGGGGGGGGAGGGGTGGGGGGCGGACAGTGTCGGCCTGGGAGCTTATCCTGTCCATCCTGCTAGCCATACAGGCAGGAGAAGGGGGGGAGGGGGGAGAAGCAGTGCGAGGCGCTGGAAGGCTCTGGGGTTTGGGAAAAAAAGAAAAAGCACTCCTTTGGTGAGTAGCCACAGAAAGGGTGTGCATGTACGTGAATAAAACCTGGTCTGTAAGGTCCCACTGGACTGTTTTGAGTCTTGGGGGAGGGGGGTGGTGGAGATCTGCAGTCACAAAGAAGGGTGAACATGTACCTGAAGGAAATGTGGTCTGAAAGGTGGCACTGGAGTGTTTTCGGGGGGTGGTTTGAAATGTGCAGATTCTCCCTCACAGAGGAGGTGTAGTGTGCAGCTGCCTAAAAACTTGGTCTTAAAGGTGCGGGCGGCGCCCCCCCGCAGGCGACGGGCGGGGGGGGGGGGGGGGGGGGGGGGAGAACGCTGAAAACGGGTCGTGTTTGGTCGGCTGAGCGCCGCCCTCGCTGCTGCCGTCCTTCAACTGTCCCCCCCGACGGCCCGCGAAGCCGGGGGGGTTACAGCACAAACGGGGCTGCGGAGGCTGGCTCATCGCCGTCGCCGCCAAGAATAGTCTTCAACTGCTCCCCCCGTCGGCCCGCAAAGTGTGGGGGTGGTGGAAGCGGCGCAAACCTGCAGCGCCCAGCTCAGCGCCACCACCGAGGCCGCCCTTGAACTGCTGCCGACGGCCTGCAAAGCCGGGGGGAGCAGTGCAAACGGGACTGCAACAGCCGGCTCACTGTAGACACCGCG